CTTTCAGTTCCTCCAGGAAAATTCCCAGTAGGAGGATAGCAGGCTTGAATGGGATTTCCAGTCCTAGTTTTCTAAGGGAACTCCTTCTTTTGAGGACATGAATAAAACATCCAAGTGAATGATAAAATTTGCCTTCCCAGTGGGAGCACTCAAGTTCAGCACTTCAGCCTGTTTCATCCTCTATATAATAGGTTTAAGAATTCTTGTCCTACAGGTTATTGTGGGGAGTAAATGAAATACTTTATCTGAGTTTCTACATAGGCATGGAGTGGGTGTTCCATATATGCACGTTCTCTTTTATCTCTGGCTTCTTCTACCAAACTATAAGAGAGATCCCACTCAAAGCCCAACATTGTAAAGTGTAGGAGGAACAGGCACAAGGGCCATGATTTGATGACATAACATATGACTGGGGCTGAGGAGATAGCTCAGGGGTCTAAGTGTCTACCCGGCAAGCACAAGGACCCAGGTTCAATCCATAGTACTGCATACCATGCTAGCTTGTGGGCCACTGAAAGTAGTCATGGTGGTTTGTGCCTGTAATCCCAGCACTAGGGAGGCTGAGGCAGGAGGATTACTATGAGTCTGAGCTCCTTAGTGAGGCTCTGTACCAAATAAGTAAATAAGTAATTAAAAATACATATAATGTATGCCCAATGGGAAGTACAAGCTGAGGATGTGGTGGTATGGTGCACATGTGTGTATGTAAGAAGTGTGTGGAAATCTTCCTCCAGGACATGACTGGGTGCTGGCCCTGAAAGAACTGTCCTAACAAGCTGACCCTTTGCACCAATCTCGGTTATTTTCATGTATGTATTTCTTGCTTACTCAACTAACTCCCTGATGGAGCTATGAGTTCCTTAGGAGGCAGGACCTATGTCTTCTCCCCTGGAGAATTCCCTCTAACCACCTATGGCTGCCAGAATGCAGCTATCTGTTTAGTGGATAATCCTGAGCCACAGTGCCCACTGTGGATTCTGAGGCCTTTCCTCTCAGCTGCCCCACCTGAAGTGCGCTGGATGCTTCTCCGGGACTCTGGGTGATGGACAGACTGGAGGAAGGGAGGCTGCACGATGAGGTGGTTCACATGCTCCTGGTCTGGGACTCGGACTTCATGCAGCACACTGACCTGGAAAAAGCAAGGGGAGGTGCCAGGTCGGCCAACACAGAGTGTGGGAATGAACAGGCGAACCAGGGCTTCCATCACAGTGGGCAGGACTCACATACCTCCAAATTGAACTCATTGCTGGTGTAGCGCCCATTGAGTTCGGAACACTTGATTTGGAACCGCCGAGCCTCCAGGGAACCTGGGTGCCAGTTGCGATAGCGGATGTGATGCAGCACCTGCTCATAGCGGCTCATGGAGCCCACACCTGTGCCAAGAGATCACACTGTCATCAGCAGGCAGCACAGGAAGACAAGGGGAAGGAGGTCGGGGAGCCAGGCTAGGGTGGCTGGGCCTTGGGAGCTTTGTGGAGTAACAGTTCAAGCTGTTTATGGATAGAAGCAGAAGTTGCCATTCTAAGGATCCAGTTAAATGGATCCACAAGATTTCCATACAGACTGGGTGGTCTCCGACTGGAATATTTGTCTTCATACTGCCAAAAGGGGGGCCTGCCCATTAGCTCAGTCATTTAAGTGAGTGCTTCAACAAAGCAATCAGGCACAGGATGCTGTGGTTTGAGTCCCATATCCTCAAGCCTTGCCAGACGAGTCCTGAAGGCATCCTGAGCCAGTCAAAAAATCCTTCAATCTGCCAAATATTGTACAATGTTTTCTGAGATTTGACATTAGAACAGAAATTTCTACACATTTTCCCAAGAGTGGGGATGTAGAACAGGTCCAACAAGGCTGGAGGAATTCCCCAAAGTCTAGAAACCCTTGTCCTGAGATCAAGGGTCTCTTCTGACCTCTAGGAGTTTGTGTTGCACTCCTACAGGTGTCATCATTCTCAAAGCTCCCTGGACAAGACCACTCTATGAGAAGACTGCTTGGTGGAGGGACCTTACCATAGATGGAGTAGCCTGCGGTAGAGTTCGTGGCATCCAAATGTTGTTGGTGGAGTTCATTGTGGTTGAGTTCTAAGCACTCCTGTCTTGGGTCCAAGTCCCCTCCAAGCACCAAAATGTCACAAAAATCCAAGTTGTGAAGCATTTCTTCCAAGGCTGCTGACCTTGGGGCTGTGGGAAGGCAGGTGCATGGGAAACCCAGGTGTGAAGAGCAGCTCAGAAAACAGCCCTTGCTCATCACTGCTGTCCTCTGTAACTGCACCTCAGTCAGGGCCAAGTTAAGAGAAGAGGATGTGACACCCCAAATACCATGTGCACCGCTCAGATGACAGGCAGTGCTGCAGCTGGGGAACATGAATTAGTGGGAAGAGCATTAACACCACAGTCAAAAGGCATGCACTTAACTGAGTGTGGTGGGGCATGCCTATATTCCCAGGTCTGTGACAGGCTGAGGCCCACCCTGGGGCAACTTAGTGAATTCATGATACTATCTCAAAAATAGAAAAAAAAAAAAAAAAAAAAAAAAAAAAAAAAAAAAAGGTCTGAGGATATAGCTCCATGCAAAGGTCCTGGGTTTAATCCTCAGTGCCTCCAGAAAAGAAAAGAAAGTAAAAGAAAAAAGAAGAGACAAGGCAAGAAAAGAAAAGAGAAAAGAAAAGCAGGATGTGAATTTGAACACAGTCCTGTTTCTAAGAAGCTAAAAAGACCCACTCAGTTTCCTGGAGAGAGCAAACATCTTGGGAGTATTGAAAACGCTGCCCACTCTGGCTGAGTGCACCACCAGCAGCAGCTCTCACTTGGTGGAGAGCCCAGCGGCACTTTCCCATGCACTCCCAGCTTCTTCCGTGTCGTCACTACATGCATCTGTGTCCCTCATCACGCTCTGAAGCTGTCAAGGCCAGAAGCACCTCAGCAAATCAGTGCCTGGCATAGGCGCTGCCATGCAGTGGTTATCACTGTATATTGCTCACCTGCATCTAGATCATCCATTAATAATCGATTAAGTCAATATGATATAACCAATAACTAATTAGCATTTGATAAATTAATTAGTTAGTATGTTCCCAGGGAAGTGTATCAGTGTAATGTTCTTTGCCTGATTTATGACTTCAAATTTCTCTAAGGAATGTTTGAACATTAGAGAGTTACACAGAGTCGAGGAATACCAAATTAAGGTCTCAAGGTGAAGGCCATTGGTATTTATGTGCTGTGTTCTATGTGCCAGATAACATGTAAATGCAGTCCACCGGAAAGATGTTAAAGAGGGTAGTATAATTAGCTTCACCTCACCAATAGGAAAATGGGAGCTCAGAGGAAGGTGAAGTGCCCAAGGCTGCACAGAAAGTGAGAGGAGGGGGCTGGGGAGATGGCTTAGTAGATTAAGCACTTCCCTGGCAAGTGCAAGGGCCTGAGTTCAATCCCCAGTTCAAAAAAAAAAAAAAAAAAGTGAGAGGAGAAGCCCAGAAGAAAACCACATTTTCTGAAATCAGACACTGGAAAGTTGTGATCTCCTGGCCTGTGATCTTTCAGTGTTCTTGGTCATGGACCTTTTTAATGAAAGATGTGGGAACTGAGATTATTTACATAAGTATATTTGCTTATTTATAAAGTGGAATGAATAGTGTGTGTTGTAAAACATGGAAAAAGAAATTTAAAAAGATTCATTAAAAGTGTATTATCTTGGGCTAATAGCTCAGCGGATAAAAGTGTCTGCAAGCAGGCACAGGGCCGGGGGCTCAATCTCTAGGCCTGTGGTGCCAGCCCCGCCCTGGGCCACGCTGAGGCAGCAGTTGAGACTGGGCATGATGGCACGTGCCTGTAATGCCAGCTCTTGGAAGGCTGTAAACAGGCGGATCACTGTCCAACACTAGTAATGAGACCCTGCACACCCTGTAGACTCTTCCCTAAAATACAAAAAATAAAGAGTGAATTAGCTTAAATAATTTTTTATTTTGTTTAGTGTTTTTCAGTGATACCAAAACATTTTTGCTCTCACTAGAGATTATATAAATCAGTTCTGTATGTGTAATTTTTAACTTTTTTTCTAACCACAGTTATTTCAAGTACCATTAGCAAGATCTGAAAACACAATAATATACATTAAACATGAAGTCTACTGTTAACAATAGCATAGTTTCCGATGGGTTTCCTACAGTGCTTGGGGCTTTGGTAGCTTCTTGTCAGGTGGTGTTACATCACCTTGGTCCCTACCCTCTGATGTGACTGATAGAGCTAGCAGTAGGTGGGGGCATGTCCCGGCTGCCTTTTCTTCATTCTCTTCTGCTTGCACTGTGGCATTCTTTGCCATTTTCAGGTTTCTTGATTGCACTGTGTTGAAGTAGGTGCTGGGATCAGGAACCCAGAAACCAATCACCCATGGCTGAGCCTTCAGGGAGCTCCTGGTCTGCTTTCATAGACAGGGACTCATCACAAAGGGCTAAAAAATGTGTGCTGGAAGGAAGGGTCAGCACCTGCAGCATGTCAAGCCAGAGGTCAGTCCAACCTGGGAGGCAGGTGAGGGCAGGCAGAGCATTTTGGAGGGAGCATCTAAGACAGAGAAGTTATTCTTTTTTTTTGCGGAACCGGGGATTGAACTCAGGCCCTTGAGCTTGCCAGGGAAGCTCTTATTCTACTGAGCCATCTCCCCAGCCCCAAGACAGAGAAGTTTGTCCTAATAAAAGGAGATGGAGAAAAAAGAAAACAGGACCTCCAAGTCAGAGAGGAGAAAAGTATGGACTAACACGGAGGCATGGGGGCAGGGAGAGGGAGAGGGAGAGAGAGAGAGAGAGAGAGAGAGAGAGAGAGAGAGACAGACAGACTGTCTGTCTTTGCAACTGAGGTAACTAACATAAGGAGTCTCTATGTGAGAAGAAAATGGTGGTACAGCCAGTCACTGAGGTCCACTAGCAAATGCCATTAGCCTGCTTCTTTAAGATACCCATTATAATAATCATCCCAAAAATGATAAGAGAGAAAATTTTAAAATACTAATAATAGCTCCCAGACACTTGCCCATGAGCTTTGCATACATCTCTCATAAACAGAAGGTGAAATATGGACCCAGATAATTGCTTTTTCTCTGCACTGCCCATATGCTGGTGTCAGATGAAACAATTCTGGATGCTCCTGGGCTGCAACCACGGAGGTCAGCAGGCCTTCCTTTCCATCTGATTGTAGCCACAAATGAGAACAGGAGAAGCAGGAAGATCACACAGTGTAATGTACCTTGGCATATAACTAGGAAACCACCTTGCCCAGACAGGTGGAGAAACACTGTCAATTTTCATGAGCTCAGGAGGGCTGCCTCTCAAGCACCCTATTGACTAGGGACCAGTGTGGTTTGAGGCAGTGGGTAATTAGGATTATTATAGAAGCAGATCTTTAGGGAGTTAGGCCTACTGCATCAGCCCATCATTAGCAGTGGCTGTTGGAGGGGATGGAGGAGACTTTCAATGTTGTCTTAGAAGAGGCAGCAAAGAGCAGCGTTCAAATGGCTGTTTCCCCCTCTTTTCTTTCTCCCTCTTCTTTCTGTCCTGTTCCCCCGGCATCTCCTATGGCTTTCAGTGTAATTGTTTCTCCCTGGCAGATAATTTAAATTACTCTTTCCCTAAGCAATCCTTCCAATAAGGAAACTGTTAGATGGCACAACTTGAAAATTTCCTGAGAGCTTACAGTCATATTACTGAGTGCTAACTTTTGCTGCGCCTACCTCAAGCAGTAACTGTATTTTTTCTTTGTGTACCTTCTAGCTTTTCTTTTGATGATCAAAATAATGCATGCTCAATAGAGAACATTTTTACAGTTGTGGAAGAGGGGAGAGAAACAGAAACAGATTGGCTTTGCCTGTGCTTCTCAGAGCAGATCTCTGTTGCATTAGGAATCTTTCCTTCTTGGCATTTTTCTTCTTACATGAGCTCATGTTGTATGTGGATACTGTGTAATTATGGATCTCACTTTTCTTTCACTTTCCCAAAAATGCCCTCTCTTTGCCCTCCTATCACTTCGTTTGTTTTTTATGCATTTGGTACAAGGTCTCATTACACAGCTAGGACTCCTAGTGATCTTCCTGTTTTCAGCCTCCCCAGTGATGGGATTACAGGTGTGCACCCCCATGCCTGGACTAGATTGCTGGCTCAATGCACCTGGGGGCCAGACCAGCCGGGGTGCTTGGGATTGAACTTCGGTCCCTGCACTTGCCTAAGCAGGTGCTTAGTCTGCTGAGCTATCTCACCAGCTCCTGTTATTCATTTGTATTATCTCTGGCCTTGTTGCTTTTGCTGTTATATATCACCCATTCACAGTGAACAATGCTATCATCGAGTGCAATTTGTGTTGCTATACGCAGTTAAGGCACACCTTTCCCACAACCCTGCATGCACCTGTACCTGTGGTTTTCATGTCCGCTGTAGCCTCAGGTTTGGCAAAGGTGCTCACAATTTTGATGTCTGGGAAAAGGATCACTCCTCTGGCACTTTCAAACTGGGCAGCAGGTCTCCAGAAGCGATCTGTGCCCTGCAGAGTAATCTGGGGCTCCATGGCCTGAAGGACCATCACGTAGGCATCCACACTGGGGATACTGATACACACATCTTCCCCAAAGCACCTGGGAAGACAGCTTCAGTCACCACACTGGCTGGAAAGAAACCATCGGCAACCTAGCCATGGGCAGGGCATTGCCCCTTCCAGGCCTGGAGAAAGCATTCTGACTGCTACCAGTATCTGAGAATGTCAACAAAGCTTCAGATTTAAAGCTACATTATCATTGAAACCACTAGTGATCCAGGGATTTAAAAGATTGGCTCCTGGGAGGGATGGAAATTTTGTATGCCAGCAACAAGTAACATTAAAGCTTTCATTATCCTTTAACAAAGCAATCAATGACAACATTAATTAGATAGCAACCACTTGTTATGTGCATCAGTATTTGGTAAGCAAATTGTTGTCTAACTGGCTGGTTCCAGCTATCTTACTAAATGAGACCCGAGGGCTAAACTCTCCTGCCACAGTGCATACGCTGTGTCTCTTAGGGAGGATCACATGAAGATGACTCCTGCAGGGGAAGGGGCTCAATTCCATTGCAGTTAGCATCTGTAGGCAGCAGTGCTGTGACAAGGACAAAGCCAGAGAAGTTAGACATCAAACATCCGTAGCCTGACTCTGCCACTCCCGAGCTAGCCGACTGTGGTCAGGGGCTGCTCAATCGCTGTCTCTCTCTCTCTCTCTCTCTCTCTCTCTCTCTCTCTCTCTCTCTCTCTCTCAGGAAAATAATAAAGACCCCACAATAGGAAGGATTAAGTGTCCACATTGTGGTATGAGCTCAGTAGAATTAGTTGATCTAACTCTGTCATCGGAACTCAGTGGGCTTCCATATCTCTAATACCTTGCACTGCTGCTGAGGCCAGCATTTGGGGTGGGAAACTCTGAGACACACAGGCACTGTGGGGAGGCTGACTGGACCCCTCTGAGGCAGCTGTCATCTCACATGCCTTGGGCAGGTAAGAGGGAGGGCAGTCTGGGCAGATCTTAGGCTGAGCCTCCCTCACCTCTTTTGTGGAGTGGGCAAGATTTAGGAGCTGTGATTCAGTACTGCTTTCAGTCCTGTTTCCTCAGCTACACCCACTCGGTCAGCTTCTTCCTCTTAAAACTTAAAGAAGCCTGGTCTTAGAGACTGACACTCACCAGCCTGTCACCCTTCTTTGCTCTTACATGGAACTGACTCTGAGGTACCTGCTCCTTACTCTTAGGCTTTTGCAAGTGGGAACACCCCTTCCAATGTCCTGTAGAATGTGACTGTCCTTGTGGGTTCCTCTCCCAGACTCAGCCAAATCACAGTCAACAAGTCCATCTTTCCCAGACAGTTCTTCTCTTTCAGGTCTTTTTTGTTCTAGGTACCTGGAGACTCCACCTCCAAGGGTCTCTCTGGGGTCCCTGTCCTAGCAGTCCTCCCAGGGAAGTGTTGTGGCCAGAAAGCAACATCCTAGGCCAGAAAGTGTGTTCTATCAGACTTCAATAGCAATCTTCTCTTCTTAGCTCAGCTCTGATCCCTGGGTGCAAGACCATGTCTTTCCTTTCTCCAGCTTACCTATAGTATTAAGGACCTCAGTGAAGCTGGGCTGGATAGTTTAATTCCATTTACTAAACCTTTATCAAGCACCTACCCTCTTGTACCATGTGGTGTGTGCTTAATCAGACTTGAGTCAAGGCCAGAATTTAAAGAAGCTGTAGAATTCTCAGAATAAAACAGAGAAAGGTAGATTTAAGTTGCCCAAACATCATATTTTCCTGAAGAAAGCCAAAGGAGAACACACATCTCCTTGGGATGACAGGGAAGTCCAGGGCGATTCAGATCCTGTTGCACAAGGCGGAACTCCCAACTTCTGTTGCCTTGGGTGTGCCCTGGATGGAGTGGGGTCTACTCACTGGACTTTGGAGGACACTCTGAGACGCCGCACGCCTGCTGTTGGGAACTGCCTGGAGTTGATGTAGGAGACCTTCTGCAGGGCGCGGTTGATGTTTGCAATGTCTTCTCCTTCCATCACCAGGATGGACTGTGAGGGGTTGAAGTGATACTGGAAGACAAGAGTGGGCATCAGAGGAGAGAGCAGTGGGTGACAGACGACAGTGCCCGGAAGCTCTGCAGCTCTATGGAAAGGCCACCAAGTCCACCACTGGCATATCTAGCGCATCACAAGTGGAGGAGGATTTCTAACCTCTCAGACAATTGCTGCTGCTCTGTAGGGGCCCTGTGGAGGGCCACTTCCCTGTGAGTTTTCCCCAGGGACTGTAATCTCCTGGTAACATTGGCCTGGGTCACAGAATGGAATTCTGAAAGCCAGTCACAGTGCTCTTGATGAGCAGGCCTTAGTAAAGGGTGGTTCAGGCTCTGTGTGACCCAGGTGGTCTCTGAACCAGTCACCTGTGGCCCGTGGATGGCCCACTCCCTGGGCTGCCATCCTCAGTGCGTGGGTGCCGGCTGCAGTGGCCATCCTGGCCTCTGGCCTTGAACTGCTCCTAATTCACCCTACATGCTACTTCTTGACCTGTAATGTGTGTTCTTAGCTTTCAACTTCAAAGCTCATTTTTTCAGTTACTGTCTGTCCTCCTTTTCCAGACCTCACCTATCACATGGGCTTTACTTTTGCTTCTGCTTATCCATGTGTTCTTCATCTACCCACTGCATCCTGATCCTCCAGTATCCCACTCTTGGTGGGGGGCTGTGTGGTTCTGATGCTCCTCACTGAGGGCCTTCAAGCTATTTAGATCTTGGCTCCTTCCTGCATCTCCCTTGCAGTCAGCCGTCTTTGACTGAACTTGAACAACTGTGAGTTACTGATTCTGACACAATTCTGGGCAATAATTACTTAGAATTATCAATAAAGTGGCATGAACATATCTGTGGCTTCAGACTCTATATAATGCTCATGTTATAGGTAAGGGGGTAGATATGTTTTCTTTTCTTTTTAAAAATTTATTTATTTATTTATTTGGTATGGTGTCTCACTACACAGCTTGGATCATGGTGAGACTACTATACCAGCCTCCCCAGTGCTGGAATTACAGGCATGCAACACCACGACTGGTTTTAGGGAAGCATGGTTCCTGAGCACACACAGTATGTGGTAGTAGGGATCGAACTCGGGTCTTTGCTCTTGCCAGGCAGGCGCTTAGACCGTCAACCTATCTCCTCAGCCCAGATATGTTCTCATGTAGGTACTTGACCATGATTTCTTTTTTGCTTTAATATTTTTTAAAATATTAAAAACCAAGTAAAAGATGCCTCTGACTCCTATTACCCAGCTGTCCAGTTTCCATGGTCCAATCCCATAAGGAATCCCTCAAAATTATGTTATTATTTTTTTTACAGCAAACTGCATTATTGTGCACAATTGATGGCTTCTTCTCCCAGGAGGAGGTTTATTGTCCTATTGTCTACAGGCTTGCCCATGGGTCTTGGGCCATCTTTTCCTGTGGGATATATGTAAGATAATCTAGCCTCTTTCCCCTCCACTTCATTGATCTGCAGCCTACTTAGGCAGAAGCTACAACCTCCCTGACTGGGTTAAGCCATGAAGGCTGAGCCATTGATTTTTTGGAGTCATTACCGCAATAGCATAACCTATCTGGAGGAAGTCAATCCTTCACAGTCGTGGTTCTTACTTCTCCAAGGCTATGCAGTGTCTTTAAAAGACTGTGTGCTTGGAGGGAATGTCACATCCCCACTCACGTACAAACCACAGAGTGCGACTTTCAACAGACCACATCCTCTTTCTTGGCTTTATTTAAAATAATGGAGAAGTTAATATTAACCTATACACAGTTTAAATGACATAATACAGTGGAGTATCCCTTCTCTGGAATGCTTGGGAGCAGAAGTGGTTCAGATTTAGGATGTTTTGGATTTTAGATAATTTACATATTTATACATAATGAGATACCTTGAGGGTGGGACTCAAGTTTAAACATGAAATTCCCTTATGTTTCATACGGACCTTATATAGAATTTTCCACTGTGATATCATACTGGGGCTCCAAAAGTCATAAAGGTTTGGGTTCTGGAGTCTTTTGTACATCAGAACTCCAGGTTAAATATGCCCAATTTGTGTAATATTTGTAGGTGTGAGACAGGATTTGCTTATAGTTCTTTTTTAAAATTTTGGACGTAGGTTTAATTATGTGAGATGAGAAGATGACAATAGGCACTAAAAGAGTGGAAACAAGGCTTACAAACTTAGCTGAGAACTTTTAGACTAGTTTAGGTTTAGATATTCAACAGATTGGACTATTTTTATTTTATTTTATTTTATTTTTATTTTTCAACAAATAATACACTGCATATATTCTTCTTAGTGGTTAGTTGCTGTACAAGATGCGGACTTGTGATCCTATTTACAAACACCATTAGAACAAATCATTCTATTCATTAACAGAATGTAACTATATATCTATCCCAACCACTTTGAATACACAGATACAAAATGGACATTCATCTGTATACCCCATTTTTTCTAAATTCCGTTATTGAATATTATAGGTGTGTAAACTCAGCAAAATATTCTAAAAGAGTCCAGTAGCCCATAATAGCATTGGGTCTTCTGTTTAACTGGCAATGTCAGAAATTATTGACCTGAGTCCCCCACAGCTCAACTTAACAGCATGGCTTTATTTCTTATAATTTCGTCTTCATACTTTTCTGCTGGATGGTTAAGACCAAGGTAAAGCAGGACCTATGCAACAAGAGTTGTAGCTTTTTGGTCTGAGAAGGTCAGTGAAATGCCCTCAGGATTTGTCCTGAGATCCTGTACCTCAGATTGTAGAACCTTTATCAGTGCAGCCATGTGGATGAGTTACGGCCAATGCTTGGCCAATGTGCTCTCTGTGAAAGCCTGAGAGAGTATCTTCTCCCCATGTGACTCTCCTTAGGCCCACTCTATGTCATCGATCACTTTCCTCTTTGGCCCCATAATCTTCTTGATCAGAAAATTTGGGACACTACCGAGGTACATGACGTTACAGTACAAGTTCTCATATGTCCTGAGTCTTAATTGACCTTAGAAGGCTAGGGCCAAAATGTTGGCTTTCCTTGTAGCCCCCCTTTTTCTCTAATTTTGGTCTGCAAACTTAGGTTGTTAACCATCCAGAAGAAAAGCTTATTGTTATTATCAAACGATTTGGGCTATCAATCTTAACCTCACTATCTCACTGCATTTCAAACATCTTAGGCATAATATGGAACAGGTATTTTTCATCAAGTATTGATATGTTGAACTTTAAGTCCCTACATAATATGATAAAAAAACATTTAAAAATTAGATTATATTTTAAAAAATAGGATAAAGAATTCTATGCTTCCCATGTTTGCACATAAGTCCAAAAATCTCACCATACACAACCTTGAAGCAGGACAGTCCCACAATATTCCTTTTCCTGTCTCTTGCTTTCCTTCACCACCCCCTTCTTCTTGAACATCCATCTACCCAAGAGACATCTTAGCAGTAAATGGCATGTCATGACAAGCCGCCCATATTCAGAATACCACAATGACAGGCACTCCCATCATGAAACAACTGTTACAAATTACCATCTGCAGTGCAGTAGCTTAGTTCCCAGGTATCAGTATATATAGTTAGTCAGGGTGAGAATCTTTCCAGTTAACTCCTAAAGAATCTTCTGAATATTCTCAGGATCATTGCCTTGCTCATCTTTTACATATAACTGCATGGCTTAACATTGCCATGTTTCCTAGCTCATCTCCTTTCCCTCTCTTGATTAGTTAGTGGACTATTTTTTAAGCACTGAAAATAAGACGTTTTACCACAAGACAGTTCCAAGGACTGTCCAAAATTTTTTTAAAAGTATGCTTTAAATTGATGTTTGTGTGTGTGCAGAATGGGGCCTTCTGCAGAACTATGTCCCTGGCCCATGCATGTACATGTTGGAGACTAACCCCAGGGTATTTACTATATTCCTAACCTTCTTTTTAGGGGTGTGGGTAGGGGCCAGGGTCTTGCTAAGTTGTCTAGGCTCTCTGTGTCAGCTCCTAGACTGCTGGGATTACATACTGGCGAGTGCCACTAAATCCAACTTTTAACTTCTCCATGTTGCATTTTCTTTGGTAAATCTATTCAAAATGTTGTATTTCATTTTAGGACTTAATTCATGTCTTAGAGGGCCCTAAATTGGTGGCTGGCACATGTTACTCTGAGCCCTAGTGCACTGATGGTGAACCTCTTGGCACTGTCAATGATACAGGCAGCCTATTGTGGCACAGGTGCCACAGGTTCGCCACCACCACCATATTCCCTTTAAGATGTCTAAGTATCTTTTCATTAAGTTGCCATTCTCAAAGATTTGCTGGAGAGGAACCAGAATATGGCCCAGTGGTGGAGTGCATGCGAGGGCCCAGCTCTGATCCTTTTGTGCTGAAAAAAATGTGAAAAGAGAAAAAAATAAAGAGAATAAACATTATGAATTAAACATCTATACATTCTTCCTCACTTCTGGTGTAGTGTAGCAATTTCTCCTGTAACCCATAGATAGTGAACCTGAAGAACAGACATACTTGAGAAGTACTTGCGAGAATATCAGTGCACGTGCATCTCAATCCCTTGGTGCTGTGTCAAACAGTGTTCTCCAGAATTATTTTGTGCATGAGAATCTTAAAGAAGGATTAAAGGAAGAAAAAGCAGACTTGGTGAAGCAGGTGCAGGAGAAGGAAGATGTCCTTTGGAGGCTAAAAGTAGTCAAAATGTGCAGATCAAAGAATGACCTGTCACAGTTACAGCTGTTGATGCAGAAGTGGAGAGGCTGTACACAGCTGCTGCTTTATGAGTTCCAGTCAGCTATGTCTGCAGGGAACAAGAAACCAAGCCTTGCTGAACTGATAGACTACTGTGGGTTAGACGCTAGATTGCCACACTTTGGTTATAATTCTGCGCACTGCAATTGTTTGAGCTGAGCCTTTGCTTGTGGGATGGTCCCGTCTTCCCTGGGATCCAGTTTCCACTCAAAGCCCTGGTAGGGTTTTTCTGAGTCATATGCATCCTTCTCTTTTGCTACATTTGGAACACTCAGGCACAGGTGTGCCTGTCAGCCTCTGGGGCTACAGATGCTTCTGCCACTTAAGATGTTCAGCTTTGGAGCTGTCACATGTTAGTGAGCCATAATTAATTCTGAGGTGTTTTGCAAGTCACCTGCTTCAGATTTGAGAAGAGTCAATGTCATTCTTCTAAAAACACCACTTACGTTCCAAAATGGTTTTCTGCCTTCTTCCCTTCTCTTCCTTCTTCTGCAACATCCCCCCTCCACTGGCCCCATCTCAGGGTGCTGATGCTGTCTGTGTACTGCCTGCAGCAGCCTGAGACCCTCAAAGGCAGGTCGACTGCCTTTCCCCAGCATGGCTGCAGGGTCTAGCACATGAGAATCACAGAAAAGATGATGAGCCTTAAGAACAGGCTGGCAATGTCAGAAATTGTTGACCTGAGTCCTCTACAGCTCAATACAATACTATTATGGACTACTGGACTCTTTTAGAATATTTTGTTGAGTTAACACACCTAAAATATTCTTATAACGGAACTAAACAAAAAAGGGGCTACAGATGAACATCCATTATGTATCTGTGTATTCAAAATGGTTAGGATAGATATATAGCTACATGCTATTCTCTTAATGAATAGAGGGATTTGTTCTAATGGTGTTTGTAAATAGGATATCATGTCTGCATCTTGTACAGCAATTAACCACTAGGAAGAATGTATGCAATGTGTTAATTATTGAAACTGTCCTACCAATTTGGTTTGAAACTGTCTCATTGCTATTTGTTTCTCAATAAAATTATGGGGGGGGGGAGAACAAGCTAATCTCGGAGTCTGCAAGAGTGCACAGGAAAACCATAGATTCCGAGGGGGCGCTGATAGTATCACATGATTACCAGCAGAGGGCGCACTCCTATTGCAGCCACTTGGTGAAAGCAAAGGTTAAGCAAGGTCTTAGATTCCCTGTTTATACCCTGGTCTGGCTACGAAAGCGTACCCTCCAGCTGGTGATCACAGGGTGCAAAGGTGGGCACTGGCATACCCTCGTCATATTTCTTACAGGATCAATAAGTCCCTCCAACCAAGGTCAGTTCACCTATTTTTCCAACTGCTATATCCCCATGTGGTGTTTGAATCTGTGGTTGTAGAGAAGATGCGTCTGTACAGGCAGACGCAGGGCAGGCGATGGTAGCTTGCTAAGTGGCTGGAGAAAACAGTAAGGGTGATGGCCTTCACCCGTGTGAAGCTGTGCTGGGTGAAGGTAGGCCACAGAGGTGCTCCATAGGTGTCCCTGCTGTCTCCAGACACCTTGTTGCTGGCTGGGTGCTTAATGAAGTTCTTGCCCAAATCCTTGGATGCCTATTCCTAGCGTATAGGCTGACCACAGCTCTTTAGAAAGCTCGGCATTGCCTTGAGCACCTGCCACATTCCAGCACCTTTGGCCTAGGAAAGGGCCTGTGATTTGTTTTATTTTCTGTATTTTAGGGAAGTGTCTACAGGGTGTTCAGAGTCTCACTACTAGAGTGGACTCGTAGTGATTCTCCTGTTTACAGCCTCCCAAGTGCTGGGATTACAGGCATGTGCCACCATGCTCAGTCTCAATTGCTGTCTCAGCACCCCTTGGGGGTGGGGCCGGTGCGGCAGGCCTGGGGGATCGAACCCCAGTCCCTGAGCCTGCTTGCAGGCACTTTAATCCACTGAGCTATTTGGCCAGCCCTTGGTTCAGTTTTTACATCACATAAGAAAAAGAGTAAGTGTACTATATGCATGAGGGATTGAAGCTTAAGGGATTAAAATATCCCAGAAGAGTCTTGTTCTAGAAGTCTTTCTGCTTGCTGCTCTTCCACATGGAGAAGATGACAATGGCAGGGATTGTGTGTGAAAATCAGAACAGTATTCTCGAGGAGTGTGGCTATTTTACAGTGTCCTACATGGATATAAGACAGCAGCCGATGCAGCCATTTAAAGCCTCCAGACATCCTGGAAAGTATTTAGCAATAGGCATGATCTAGAGGACAAAAAGCGATACCAGGAAGCTGTTTCAGGCCTATGAGCAGATGCAAGTAATTCCTTAATTGCGGGAGGCTGTCGCTGCCTTAGCCAGAGACCAGGGACGAGGCCAGTAATCTAGCAAATGAAATGGTAGACATCACTCAGCATATGAAGGGTAAAAGCGTGTTGGAAAGAATGTGGTTTCTAATTGTTTCAAGAGTATCTTCTAATCTGAGTTGCTAGGGTGGGGCGAAGAGGACGAATTTATCTTGGGCAAGTCCCTGAGCCCCGATCCCCTTATTTTTGAAACGAGGTCATAATATTTAATTTGTTTTGAGAAGCAGGGATAATGAACATAAAATAGCCCCAAGTGGGTGCTCTGTAAATTGTGTGTCTTATTAACTTCTCACACAGTGCTCCAGTTCTCACTAGCCATGCCCGAGGGACAGAAGAGGACCAGTCGCAGTGACTTGGCAGCAAATAGGTGGCATCTGAAAGCCAGATTCACCTTCCCCGCCACCCATCTCCTTTTTTTAGAGGCCATGACTATTCTGCAGAAGTTGCTGCACATCTTAATTTGTAATTTTAAAGATGCACAGCTTTTCAGGCCAGCGTCTTTGGTTTGTTGCTCTGCGGTGCCTGGAGCTCTGCAGCTGTGGCCCTGTGGCTTGTGCAGAGTCGAGCAGATGCATCGGAGGCAAGGAGCAAACCCAGGATCTGTCAAAGAGGTGTGGAGGATGAGCTGTGCATCTGTGGGTGGACAAAGCTCTAGGAAGACAACACCCATGGTAGGCCAAGACCATCCTTTCCAATGTGAGCTGTCTTGTGAGCTTCCTCCAATGACAGGCGATTAGCTGCGGAGTGTGTGCACACATGCGTCTGAGTCACGTTGAGGAATGATTTGCAGAGTCCTATCGCCTTGCCGTGTCTTCCCTACTCTTTCCATCTTCCCCTTTGGTCCAGCATCCCAGGTGGACACTGCAGACCCCACATCACCAAGAGCACCTCCCTTGCTTCGCCCTCAATGACTCTCAGCTACTGACACAAACATAAACACTGAAACATGCTCAGGAGGCCCCATGATATGCCTCCTGCTACCTCAGGTCCCACTCACTAAGCCTCCCTCCTGTCATTTGGGCACCTATAATGCCGAGCTTGTGGAAGTCCCAGGGCACACGTGATGTGCCTCAGCCCTCCTGCTATTGCTCATGCTCTTGGATCTGCCTGGAATGCATTCTCTCCTTTGCACTTCCTGGCCTTTTCCCAGGTGGGTGCCAACCTTATCTCACATGTTCTGCTCAAGCCTCACGTCCTCCAGGAAGCCTTCCCAGACTGCCGTTCACCTGCATCTGGAGCTCTGGAATGGGATGGAGCCTCAAGTTCTGGCTCTGCCTACCTCTACCTTAGCATCTTAGGGGCATTTCTCCTTTAGTCTTCAATTCCTCATGTGTAGAGCTGGAATTTTGTCAAGGGGATATTCTGGGGAGCAGTGTGCATAGGAGATGCAGACAGTGCTTGGCACTTGGGAGACCCTCAGTGAGTGTCAGTGCTTGTCATCACCGTAGCAGTCATCAAGATTGATCACAAATGTCTACTTGGACCACTGAGTTTGCTGGAGACAGTGGACTTGTAATACTCATTTTCATATTCTCGAAGTCGGCCCAGAAGTAAATATCTTAGCATCCATGCAGAAGCGACTACAATGCAATGAACAGCATGAGTGCTCAGAACAGCACTAACCCTTCTAAAGCTACCCAGCATCAGAGCCTGCAAGCAGAAGGCCCTCCCTGCAGGGGATTTCTGTTGGAGAGCATGCCCTGTCCAGGAGAAGCAGGGCCAGGGCAGGACCGCAAGGTACAGCTGCACTGCAGCATGGGGAGCAGATGGGGAGTGGGCTGGGAAACGTGGCTGTAGTCACACTCCCTCAGGGAATGGCTAAGCAGGGTGACCTTCTCAGCTCTGTGGGGGAGTTCTGGCTCTGCTGCCAGGAGGCAGAGGACAGAGAGTGAGTCACTCAGGTTTCAGAGAGGAGCTGCGGAATTGCTTTCCCACCATGGAGACCACGATGATTGAGTGCGGTCTCCGATGATGTTGACCCTGCTGTACATCAGGACCCCAGGGACTCAGTACCAGCAAGAGCATCTTGCACTCAGGTAAGGCCAGAAAGGACCTTGCCTCTCAGGGAGACCTTGGTGAGGCCACAGGCTGGTCACACCTTTTCCTGGCCTGCTCAGAAGGAGCTTTCTCAGAATACAGTTTGGATTCTCCTGGAGCACTTGGATATTCTAATTTCACACAGAAAATGAAAATTGTGAATCTGTTCATGTTCCCTCTGACTGCCAGAGTTTGCTTAGAGCCTAAGTGGTGCCTCACTGTGACTGTGTAAGGCCCCTTGACCTCCACACCTGCCTCTACATCTCCCTTACCTCAGTCCTTTCTTTCCTTTTTAGTTTATACTTTACAGAGTCCTAACTCTTTATTTGTTTTTCATGTTTTGGTAATGTATTCTTGCATGCTGCACACAGTTCCTTCAGGCAAATAAACAAAGCAACAAACCAACCCACAAACAAATGAAGTACAACTTCCTCCAGGCAGACATGCAGTATGTGCCATATGTTGCATCGTGGGCTGGCTGGACACAAGGACCCGACCTAGGAGTTTCAGGAGATGTTGGCGCAAGCCCACCCTGGAAGTCAGGGTCACTCTTCCTTCCACGGCAGCACCTTTGCTCTGGTGCAGTTTTGGTGCAGTGCCACAGAAATGAGTATTTCCTAGTGTGTTTGGGTGCTGGGTAGCCTCAGTCTCATAAATCAATGTCTTATCGGGGTTACACCAGCTCTTTTCTTACCTTTATTCCCTGCCCCAGGCTTTCCAAGGAATTGATATCCAGCCCCTCTTTGCAGGCCTGCAAGCAGGAAATCACCTTCTGGCTTTCCATTTTGCCGGGACGGATAGTAAGACTGGCCAGGCTGCCGTGGAAGAATTGAGCAAATCGTGGTTTGGCAACTTCGCCACCTGAAAGAAAAAGCAGCACTGTCACCTACCCTGAAGATATCAGGTAGGAATTATGCCAAGGTGCCAGCTGGCCATAGAACCAGGATTGCACTGCATGTCCCACAAACCTGAAGGAGCATGTGTGTGCTCGGGGAAGCACTGAGCTCTGTGGGCCCTGTGGGAGCTCTAGTCACAGTTACCCAATACAAGCATTCCAAGTATCATGTTGCAAACCTTTCCTGGAAGCTATCCCTTTCCTTCTTCTTCCTGGTTTCCAGGTTAGACCTTCCCTGAGGTCTGATAGCAGGTTGCTCCTCCAGGCAGTCTTCTTCACTGGCTTCGCTGTTCACCTCTAGGCTGTTTACCTAGACAAAACTTGCCTGGCTCTTTCATGAATGTTTGTCTAGAAAGGAAGCAGACCACGGAAGCAATAGGGGCCCGGGCTGTCTTGCAGCTTGGCCATTTCTCCATGTCTGCATCCTGTTTCCCTAGGCCAGGGATGCCAAGTCTTTCAGAGTCTGAGTGCCCAAACTGTAAACCAAAACACATACATTTATCACAAAATGCCAAAATTGCAATTAAACCTGAAAGTGGAGGTTTTAGCTCAGAAAGGAAGACTGGTACATTTGGCTCACGTGCTAACAGAGAGGGCTCCGGATGCCCAGTGTGGCACCCATGCCACAGGTTCGCCATCACTGCCTTATGCTGTCTCAGCTTAGCAGCCCCTGTGGCTTCCCTAGCACTCTGTGGTCTACTAGCAGAGTGTGCTGCACAGAGACACCCCTGTGAGTGGCTTCTTCGGCTCTCTAGAGAAAAAGCAGGTTTCCAACAAGCAATGCCATGGACACCTCGCTGGTCTTCAGTGAGTCTTACTGTGCCAACGAAATTTAGCCCCCAGCTTGTGGAGGGCAGGCTTTCCTTTGGGTGCACATCTTAGCACTGCAGGTAGTGAACTCTTCTCATAATGCTTTCTTATACTGGGAATCGAACATAGGACCTTGCACTTGCCAGGCGTGCATTTGTGTCATGGAGCCTTACATCCTTTACAGTTCTCTTTACTTCAATCCCCTGGTGGATTTAGTACTGCTTTATGCCTCCCTGTTGAAATGAATCTGGGTTCTTTCCCCTGACTGGGTCCAGGCTGATATGCCACATACCTTCCTTTTCCTTGTTCCTCCTCACAATGAGACCCCTTCATTGTCTCCCCATGGCTCAGATAAGCACACTTGAATTTTCTCCAGGCCCCTTAAGCTCCCTGTGCCCTGTTATTCCCTGAAGCTCTACCCAGGTCTGTCTGCTGTGTCCTCTCTGACCCTAAATTTCCTTCCCACCACACACTGTCCTGAGTCATGGAGCACTGATGTCTGATTTTAACATATAACATTGTGGACAAACACTTCGCATGCGCGTGCTTTGTGTCAACAGCCTAAAGTTGAGGTTTCAAACTTAGCTATGTTTTTTAAAAGCATCCCTTTAAAGATCCTCAGATGCCTGGTGCTTGGTTCCACCCTTGGGGATTCTGACTTAATTGTATAGGAAATGTTAAAAGCTTCTCAGGTGACTCAAATGTGAAGCCAAGGTCAATAACCACTGAGCTTTCAGTTCCTTGAGAAAACTCATGTTCCCTTCACACGTTGTTATAATTTATTAGTTTGAGTCGCTCTTGCTCTCTCTCCTGGCTACAAGGATTGCTCATGCATTATTCATTTTCATGAAGACAATACTGAGCCAGTATTAGGGGCTGAGGGCTGCACCCGGTGCTTTATAAACATGAACTTGTTTATTTTTTCCAACAACACTTGGGCTCTTCTATCCTCCTGGCACCTTGACTCTGCCTGGTAGACTGCGCTTGCTGAACTGAAAGAGATGGTCAAGTGAATGCTAACAGATGAGAGGGCCTTGTGGCTCCCTCATCAACGTCAGTCGCTCTCTTTCTGTTGTGCTAAGGCAGCCTAGAATGCCAGGGAAGGGACTCTGTCTCCAAGGATGGGATATATTTAACTTAAGCTAACCAGTATATGTTCTTTCCCTGTTGCCCCAAGGACTGATTCAGGGGTGATACTGATTGAATTCAGTATCAAGAGGGAACCAAATGGCACGTGGCATTCGATAAGCCATAGTGACTGGCCCATAGTAATGGGATCAAGTGTGGGGCAGTGTTGTGAGAAATGCTGACTGCGAAAACGCCCAAACAACTGCCCGCATTTCTGGCCAGAAAGTCTGCAGCCAACTCTTGCAGTCTTTCCCTGGACAGCATTAAGGTGGAAGGCCAAGAGCCACTACAGCCCTCTTGCCGTAGCCCATGAAAAACAGCAGCAGTGCACAAAGGAGAGCAGAAGCAGGTTGTCATGTAGGGTTGAGCAGAAGCAATGCACGGCCCCACTGTGGTGCTGCAGGACGCCTTCAGCCGTGGCAGCCATTCATCCATCTTCATGGTAAGACATTTTGCTGCTGCTTGATACCCACAAATTCTTTATTTTGTAATTGAATGACATTTCTTTTGAAGTGCTCAGTTCACAGGGAATTTTAAATAGATTTGGCTTTGAGGAATGGTCTGAGATGGTCCATCACAACAGGGAAGCCAATTTAAGGTTTTCTAATCTAGGACCTCAAAGCCCTCATGAATAGAGCAGTCCTCCAAGCCATTAGCATGTCCTTGCCCTAGCAGATCTGCAGATATAGAGCATGAGCCTGGGCATGGATAGGTGCTCCTCTCTGGGTTCTCAGAAGGCCTCTCTCCTGCTTTGTCCTTATCTTGGAGCAGCAGATCCATCAGCTATCATTTATTGGGCATGAAATACCTACCCCATACCACGTGAAGTACTAAACATATATCATTTCATTGAAGTAAAGTCCCAACGAGGTAGGTACTTCTGTATTCATGGATGTGCAAATTTAAGTTTAAAAGGGGAGGTGAGTGGCCAGAGGACACATTACAGAAACCTGTAAAGTGTATGTTCCTGTTCTTCACGCACATCCATCCGTGCGCAGTACCAAGTAGGCACCCCAGCAGTGCTCGCCAGCCGGCCGAGCCCCACATGAGGCTCCAATCTGTCTTCCTCCACCTCTCACTCAGCACTCCACGCTCAAGGGCCGAGCTCCGCTACTCTTGTGGATGTGTTGACATTTTCCCACTTATTATTTTCTCTCAGCAAAACACATTCATACTTTGTATTTTTGATTCAAAATGTGATGCCCTCTATTTATTAGTGACAAAGCTCCAGGAAATCAATTCAATTAGCATCTTGCAATGGGAGAGCAGCATAGAATATGAAATATATGTGCACCAAGGAGTGGCTGGCATGCTGGAGTCTAGAAAATAATAGATAACATTAAAGTATCTCTTTCTGTTTCATAACTAGGGTATCCACATAGGCTACATGGGCTCCTGTGTTAACCTTTAAAATAAGAATAGTTATGAATCCCTTTAAGAAAGCAAATAAATTTGCATTTCTTCCATAGAGAACCTTCTTTAATTGTTTGCAAACATGATGTTGGATTCCTTAGGCTAGAGCAACATCCATTTTTAAAGCATTTTCTGTATGTCAAGTATTCTGTTAGATCCAGTTAATTATAAAATGTGGAACATTCTTTGGAAGCTTATATTGAATTGAGAGAATGAAGTAGAGATGCTGGTGAGGAAAAATAAAAATACAAGAAGAAATTACTGGTATAATAAATATTCTTAAGGCGTGAATGATTAATTTTCAAGTAAATGATATAGATAATATGCATAATAGGCTACAGTGGGAAAATAGCTCTCACTTGTTAGGGCTTTGCAGTGTGGCAGCTTTCTTCATAAGCTATTTTATTTATTCCTTAAGTGGTAGGATGCAAAATCTGGAGATCTTAGGCTTTGTTCTTTGTTTTTTTCTGTATTTCTCTTAGCTCTCTTCTGTTTAAACAAACCCCTGGTCTGCTAGAGGGAGGGGCACAGAGAATTTCAAGCTGTGTTTTTCGGCCGTGGCTAGCAGAAGACCAAACCCTTAGCAGCACAGTGGAGACCAAGGAACTGGCCCACGTTGGGGCGGAAAGTGCTTCGCAGGCAGCTGCGTGTGCTGCTGGCCTGGCACACAGAGACCACACGTGGACCAACGGACAGAGCATCAGTATTAGTAGTATTAGTGTCCTAAAGAAGGCAACACCAAGACAGCTGAGAGCTTGGGAGGATAATTAAAGTTCAAAGGCCTAAAAAAGATATTTTCTCAGTGGGACGTCTGTGTGGGAACGTGCTCCGGCTGGGGCTCTTCAATGTGTTAACGCTGTAGAACGCCCCCTGCCGGCAGGCAGCTCTATAAGTAAAGGAGGAAATTCCAGATAGAGGAGGTTAAATTTTCCCTATTCAGAGGGAATGAGGGCTTAAAATGAAACAACGATGGGTGTGGAAAAGGTCTTTTTGTCTTTGTGAATTAAGATTCTTGTCTGCCATATTTAGAACTTCTTTTATGGATTAAAAAATGTTATATTTTGATAACATCCCCAAGGCCAACGTGCCAGAAACAAATGAAGCAAGATGCAAACTTGTGTCTTGCCTATTCCCAAAGCCTTTCTCTGCTTATCACATGAGCTACGTCCGGGGAGGTCAACAAGAAGTTTTCAAAGAGGGGCAGATTGGGATTGATGAGATGCTGGGGAGAATACCTGACCACACTGGACTCTAGGGACTCCAAATGTTTCCAGCAATGACCCCAATGATTTGTGTCAAGTTGCTGGAAAACACAGTTGTCTCAAAACAAACAAGCAAACAAAAACAAACAAACAAACCCCAACCCCCCCAAAAAAAACCCCAAAAAACAACAACAAGAAAAAAAAAACAGTGCAGTTGGCCCTCTCTATCCACAGATTTCATGCTCCTAGATTCAACAAACCACAGATTGAAGTTTTGAATATATTTTTTTTCTTTTTCTCAACCTTTGTTTCTCTTGTCATTCTCTAACCAATACACTATAAAGACTATCCCTAGACTTTATGTTAGATTCATGTTATGGTTTGTGTATAGGTGTCCCACCCAAAGCTTCATG